TTATTGTGAATGGTGGTTCCTGCCCCCCGGTCAGAGGAAAGCTTGCTAGTGGTCCACAGGCATCAGGTGCTTGCCTAGTGCTGCTGTTCCATTACTTTATCTGGGGAGTAAAGGGAGAAGGAGCCTTTGCCCAGACACATCCCTGCTGTCCCTCGGTGGTCATGGCAGCTGCTCTTGTTACTACCTAGTGCTGTGTCACCGTCTTGGGTAGGAGAGCTGGTTTGCTGGGTCTGCACAGGGTGAGGGATTGACTGAGCAGATGAGGATGTGTCTGTGGGACATTCCCTATGGAGCAGTGGTCCTTACCAGGTGATGGCGAGGCTTCTGTCTGCTAGGCAAACAGGCTTTGTCTGTGTTATTGTACCTTTATGCATAACTGCAAACAACATACATATACATGTTCTCTGTTTTTTTTCTTGGATTTGACCATCCAATATCCTGATGTAATGAAGTGCTTATAAACTCCCTTTGTTTATGAGGCTATGATATGTTCAAGCATACATGTGATTTGTCGTATATGATACTTGAAGTTCTATGAAAGATTTCCTAGTATAATTTTGGAATTGTTGTCATGAAGGAGAAAGCCATGCTGATTAAAAATTGTCAAATATAAAGCAGAAGAGCTCCTTAATTAAACACCAGGGTAACTTTTGTATCCATTCCCTGTGAAGTCAGGTATGCTCCTGTTACGGTTTCTAAAGTTCAAAATTGATTTTAAGTTATATGAAATGCTTTTCCTATGCATAAAACTGTTACATTTTGAAGTATAATATGTAAAGATCTAGAAGTAGAGGAACATGCCCCATCCAGTGCTGTTAGGAAGCCGAGATCTTTCCATACGGTGTTGAGCATTCCACTTCCAGCCATGCAGGAGAGTATCATGTTGGATCTGACAGCTGTCACAGGGAGAAATGGTATTCGTCTTCTGGGTTTGGCGTTAATAATTTGGGAGGGAAATGCCAGATTAGCAGGGAAAGAAGAAACATTTCCTTTTGTAAACAATCTTACAAGAAGATTACAATTTCTTTGAAGCTACTTACAAATTCTGGCATTAGGATTCTGGAAGAGTAAGTCCAGACAAGATGGATTTGTGGAAGAAATAGCTGATGGGCAGTGGAAGATGCATGATTAACAATTTTGTTTTGTTCAGTTCATTTCCTCAAGTGTTGTGTATATTCTGTTTTTGAAACCTAAAGTATATATGTTTGTCATTTTGAGTGGATGCTTTCTATTATTTACAGTAGTGTATAATTATACACAGACTGACAAATATAGCAGTGTCATAGAATCATAGAATTGTTTAGGTTGGAAAAGACCTCTAAGATCATCGAATCCAACCATTAACCTAGCACTGCCAAGTCCACCACTAAACCATGTCCCTAAGCACCACATCCATACGTCTTTTAAATACCTCCAGGGTTGGTGACTCAACCACTTCCCTGGGCAGCCTGTTCCAATGCTTGACAACCCTTTTGGTAAAGAAATTTTTCCTAATGTCCAATCTAAACCTCCCCTGGCACAACTTGAGGCCATTTCCTCTTGTCCTATCGCTAGTTACTTGTCGTGGAGTCTATTTTTAGGCTCAGACATTTATGATTATGATCTAATGTACCAACACTTAGCCAAGCTATGAGCAAGAAAATCTTACAGGGAAACAATGCTATCGACCTCATGCATAGCCTGGTACCAAAGAAGGATCATCTGTACCAGGACAGGGCGTTCTGCTGGTTTTTTTTTCCCCTCTGTCCACTTAGTTTCCTCTGTTCTAGACAGACAGGATGAGTTGGTGAGGTAGAGCACACAGTTGCTGGACTGGAACAAATTGTTTATTTTCCATTGTTTGTAATCATGCATGACTTATTCTGCTTGTTTCTTTTCTTTTTTTTTTTTAACTGGGATTTTCCATTTATACTCCACTGAGAATCAGTGTTGTTCACTATTGCAAAGGCAAATTTCCGAGTTAAGTTTCTGCTCTGCATAGGGTAGTCCTAGGGGACCAGTCATGTATCCCTTTACTAGAAATAGGTAGCCCAAGCCTGTGCAAACAGTCCCAGCGACCATACGGCAGGCTAACTACGTCTGTGCCCTTTCTCCCCTCACGCAGGACTCCTGCTGGAGTAAAACAGTGAAAACCTACTTGCCCACATCTGAGCCTCATCAGTCACTGCTGAAAGGTTATTAATATTCAATATTCGTTAACAATGAGGTAGCATCTGAAAAGGAGCAAGCAAAGCTGAAACAAATGCTGTGCTCAGAGTCAGTTTACAGCAATGACACATACTCAACCCAAAACATGCCCATGCAAAAGATACCCAACAGCTAAGCTGAGATGCTCTGTGTTTTCTGAGATACTATGGCTGAATCTTCAGTTTATCTGCGTTACAACTTCTGTAGTGATAAACTTTGGGTTTGCTGTAGTGTTTCACCTCCTTTGCCTCTGCGTTGCTTCTAGCAGCATGTTTTGCACCCTGCCCTGCATTTCCTTACATTAAATACATCTTTCAGTGTTTTGAGACAAGGATGTGTTTTTCTGCCTCCGGCAAACCACTGCCTGGATCCTTCTCCTGTTAATAAGAGTTTTCCCCGCCGCCCCCCCGGTTAGAGGTCAATCTGAAGTGCAGGAAAGAATGATTATGATAACAGGAGGAAACAGGAAGAATCATGCTTTCTTTTTCAATCTGTTTTTTATTATTGTTTTAATGTAAAACATTGTTTCAATTAAATGCTGACCTGTGCAGTGGTGTGTGCGTGCACATGCTGAAATGAATTCAGGCTTTGTTTGGAAAGCTGTGACCTCTTTATTCCTGTTCTGGATCAGGGCTGTTGCATTTCAAACCCACTGCTGAGGACTGACATTTCACTTGTACTCCTCGTAGCACTGGCAGGAATGATCCTTAAGAGCGGTATTCTCCTTGGGCATTTTTATGTGCTGTTCTCTCTCAATTTTTAAAATAAACTTGTTTGGTTTTAAGAATTCCTTATGTCACGAAAAAAAGATAACCATGACAAGATTAAAATGCATCAAATGGGCACCGGGCTAAACTGGTACCTGATGGAGCAGATATGTATAGAAATGAGGAGCAGAGATCTTTATCAGTTACTTGCTTTCTCTATGACTTAATTTTATGCTATGTTATTTATTCTTTCATTTTTTTAAAGTGAGAGTTCCATGTGAATTGACTTCACCAAAAAGGAAGTGTAGGACTCAACCCCAATACTTGCTCCCATCACCCAAAGTGTTAGCTGCAATGACACTAGAATAAGATGTCACGTTTGTTATTTGCTTGGATGTAAATTTCAAATCTGGGGGAGTGAATCTATGTTGTCTTCCTTAAGTTTTTTGTTTGCTTAAAATGAACTGTTTCAGAGGAAGGAAGAAGGCGGGGAGGAATAACGTGAAAATTGTCTGGGTTGTTAAAATGAGTCAGTTATATTTTATACTTGTCCTCTGGTGACCAGATTTTCATTTTTCTCCTTGGCCTCCTGGAATGTTTTTATTTATGTATCTTATTAGTTCTGGATGTTCTGTGCAAGGGGAAACCTGAATTACAAACTTTTTTTTTTTTTTCATTATTGTATTAAGAGCCTGGGTATTGAATGCAGGTGCTCAGACTCTGCCATAATTGGCAGTTTATGGAGAGACACCAGCTGTACTGCTTCACAGGGGAGATATTATATCTCTTCACACGTTGTATATATTGTAGGAAATGCAGAATTCCTGTCATTGTCAGAAACTTTGCATGTCCGCATCTACCAGTGCCTCTGTAGAAAAAAGACAACAATCCGCTGGAAGTTAAAACCATGTCTATTTTCAGAAATGGCTTATCCCTTTTATTGTCCTTTCATGTAGCACTAATTGATGTTTTGTTTGGTTAAATATAGACAAGATTTAACATATGTTTGTCTTTTTGTGGTCTTGCAAGGTGAACTGTTGTACTAACTGCCTCATGTTTTTTTTGTAACGCATGACAGGTTACATTACATATCTGCATGTGTGTGGATGTGCGTATATGAGATTATACTCATCATGTAATAATATACTAAATCACATATTTAACAGTTTCAGTTCACAGAACAGGGTTGGAAGGAGAAGCAACAGAACTCCAAATTACATTAGACCTTAAAAGGCATAATTATACAGTGGGAAAACCATGATGCTTCTGGGCATTTTACACAATGGGGGCCATCGTTGCTCCCTCTGGGGAATGCCTGGGAGCTGCAGACAGTACCGCTTGGTCCTGCCCGAGGAGTATTGATATATTGATGTGTGAGTGGGTGGGACTTGTGCAGCTTTAGAAGGCTTGAATTATAGGGGGAAGCTAGGAATTAGTATCAAGATTTATAGGTATTGTGTGTGAGTGATTTGGCCAAACAAAGGAGAAGGTAAAAGCTATGCCCGCGTTTGAAAAGTGTGATTGCTGAAGGGAATGAAGAGCTGTTGAGTGTTGCAAGGAACGTTTGTTGCATATCAAGAAATATATAGGTATCTGGCATCTTACTAGATACCAAAATAGGGTTCCAACGAAAGTAAAAGAAATCTCATCAGTTTGTTTTTGAGAGCAGCTTGGAAAACGTAGTCCTAATAACAGAGAAATGGACAAGGTTACAGATGTCTCATGTAAGCTGATTTAATGTTTGCCTGGAATATTTGTTATCCCTCTTCCTCTGTGGTTTAGAAATGTGTTCGGATCGATGTAGGGACAGTAGGAGGTTTTGCCCTGTTAGCTTCATCTCTGGGAACACAGGGACAAGGCTGTTTCATTCTGTCTTTTGGAACAGATTTAGTTTATATTCTGTCTGTGGTCATTAAATCCCCTTTTTCTTGCTGTCTCATCAGAAGTGTCTTGCACGTTCTTTGACCTAGTTAAGGCCCGGTATTGAGACATTCTTTTGAACATAATTTCCTTTCCAGTGCTGCTGCATGTTTGTGTGTTGTACACTTTGTTTGTGAGAACCAGGAGGAAGTCTACATATCTCCCATGTTTTCTTGTTTTTAATAGGTTTGTACGCATTGCGGAGAGCACTGGGGAAAAGACCTAACCTATTAGACAACGAGGTGGCTGGGTCAGTGACGATTGCTTTCAATGACTTCCTGCAGGGGATGAATGATGTCAGGCCCAGCGCCATGAGGGAGGTGGCAGTTGATGTGCCAAAAGTAAGTTATTTTTTGCAATATGCTAGCAACATTGTTAGAGCCATGTTAAGAGTTGCAGTTAGGCGTTGAAATGCTCTACCGAAAGAGAGGAATTTTGTGAAGCGGAAGCCTCACGTGACCAGTAAATGTTGTGCATCCTCTTTTTGTTTGCATATTTGTTTATTTAATTATGATTTTGAAGACTCATTTACACAAGCTTAGGTTCCTAATGCTTTAGGAAGAGTTGGTAATGCAGGAGCGTATCTCCTGATCTGTAGTCTTACATGCTGAGTGTGTTAATGGAGTAAAAATTTTAAGATGTCTGCTCAAAGCAGATCCTGAAGAGCTGTGAAAGCTGGAGCCTTTTGTAAAGCAGACACAAACTTAAGTAGAAACCAAGCATTTGTTAGTATTTGTAACCAAAGTGTATTGAAACGAAGCTGTGAAGAGATTGATTGCTGTGATTTTATGTAAAGCAGTTGACTAATTCTTACATGCAGTTCATACTGCTGTGACCTGAATGTCTTCAGTGACATTACATGGTTTTACCTGAGGGCAGAATTAGATACTGTTATCACTGCCAAGGAGTTACCCATCAGGGGCTGTCATTACATGAACAGTTCTTTTGGCAGTACCAGGTTTGTCTTTAACCTGCTTCCTGCCCTCTCAGTTATGTATTATAGTAGTTCAGTAGCAGACACAACATAAATTGGGCTGAGGAACGGATCTGGTTTAAGAAGACTCTGATCTGGCCTAAGAAGCTTCAGCAAAAGAAAATGTTGTATTTAATCTTACTGAATCTTGACTCCGTGAGCCATTGTGCTGGTGTCTCTTAGCGGCTCCCTGAGCCCTAGAAGAAAACTTTTGTGTCTCATTGCATGAAGATGAGTCATCTGGGAATTAAATTGCATGACTGTAGACCCTTATTCCCAAACTATAAGAATGGGAAATAAAATCTGTGAACAGGATGCTGCACGCAGCTAGTTCGGATATCACACTTGGCTTGTTAAGAGCCCACGCTGTGCAGTGAAGTGCTGGGTAGAAATGCCCAGGCTGGCCCCAGCAGCTTTTCCTGGAAATGGTGTAGTGGCATCTATATCCACAGGGGCTAATTAGTTCTGCTGAGAACCAGAGTTACTAATTCTCACATTGCTTATTGTGGTACTGGCTCTTGGGCTCACGTCATTATCACTGTGCTGCGCCTTTTAGAAGTACCAGCCCATTTGGAGCTAGATGGAGTGCTGCTAAACAGCACAATAAAGACAGATAGAAGCAAGGTGTCGAGGTACTACAGGAAATCTGTTCTGAATCCAGGTCAACCTACTACTCAGGCTCCTGTTGTCCACTAAACCATCCTGCCAGTGGCTTCCTTGATTGTCACTTGTTTTTATAAACACCAGCTGAGTCACTGGAATACTACTGAAATTCATTCTTTTATTAAAGGGAAGGTAACAACATAGTGCAGGTTCCTTTTGTGCTGACAGGATCTGCATTTTTACAAAATAATGGATATTCTGTGAGCATGTAGGGTAAATTTCAGGCTATCTGCTTGGTGCCTGGGGTGAGTTTAAAGTACCGGCTGCAACGGATTTTGTGTCCTCCCACATCACCTACTAAAGGGGGTGATAGAATTCAGTTTAACCATTACTTTGGGCTGCAGAACTACCTCTCTACCAAAGCGAAGGTACCTGTGCATGCTCAGAAGCAGCCTGAATATCTGGAAACACTGACACAGCTGTCCATGAAAGTCATAGTAGTGTAAATCCAGCATTGTAACACCATCACCACCCTCAAGGCTAATTACTCCATTACCGTTTGTATTTGAGGCGGGGAAGTGCCCTAAGTCAGCTCAAGTCCATGGGTTAGTTGAAGGAACTGGGTTGTGCTGCAGCTGGGTGGCCGGGATGGCAGTGCAGGGGAGGCAAGCAACAGGAATCCAGACTGCAGGCCCCTGGTTAGGGCTGCTTGCTGGGGGCTTGGGATGTGATGCAGGAACACTTGCAAACATCTGAAACTCATTCATGTACTTTAGCACAGTGTAGCTATTTAAAAAAATAAAAGTGACCACTGTGTGGTTTATAGACATGCGCAAGCAAAAAGAAATAAAAAAAATCCATTTATCATTGTTATTAAACTTAGGTTAGTGTAATTTGCTCTTTATTAGCAAATAAGTATATCTTATTCTCACATGATGGTTAGTTGTCTGAGTGCCAGTCACTTAGCATTTTATGTACTGTTATCCAGAGAATTTACATGGTTGATTTGTTGTTTGGAACACAGATTGTAGCAGAAAACATAATGCAGCTTCTAATTCCTTGGATACCTTTTTTTAAGAAGAGTATGCAACATTTTGTGTTGCATGCTTATAGTAATGATTTTTAGGTATGTCTTAATCAATTTTACAGACTAATTTTTGCTTCTCTGATTAAAGTTGTGTATTTAACTGCGCTGGTTGAAGGTGTGTGTTTGGTTGCACTAACATTGGCAATTAGATGCTGAAGTACTTTGTTTCAGTAGAAGCCAGGTATCTAAGAAGCCAAATGAATGCAACTGCAGAGCCACTAATTAGTTTCATCATCTTGTGTTGATGATGCTGTGTCCTAGAATGCTTTGCTTTTTAATATTCTTATGCTTGAATGTCTACTCTTGCAACACCTGTGGGGAAACCTTAAAATTACTTGCTTGCCACAGAACTGATGCTAAGAGACCTAATTTCTATAATAAATTCTTCTTCTTTGCTAATTTACCTCTCTTTTCAATACAGTGCTTTCAGTCCATGGACTTGGGCCACTTACCCATTCAACACTTTACTTAGTTAGCTGTTGGCCATGGTGTACTGTGATATGTTACTTATGTGCTCTGCAGTAATTTACACCAACAGAAACTGCCTTAATTACATCTTTTGTTGCATTTTTATCAAAATGTAAAATTTATAGCTGGGTGTGTGGGAAACGAAAAAGAAAGCATGAACCACATAGGAGTTTCTCCAAGAAACCTAAAAATGTTGTGTTTTGGTTTTGTTTTTCCCGGCTAATGTATCTTTGTGCATAGTATTTTGTGAAATCATCCTGTATTGATTAATCTGTAGATACTTTCTGTCTGCAAGGATAGGCTTTTCTTCCCCTCTCTCCTTGCCCCAGAAGCTATCCAGCTAGACAGTTAATTCTGTGGCTAAATTTCTTAGAAAAGCAGGGGTTACATCCCTTCATGTTTTGAAGTCTGACCTCAACACTGTCATCTAAAAAAATCCTTGCTAAAAATAACTTCAAACACTAAATAAATGATCAGCTATGAGATTTTTTCCAAAGAGAAGACAGAAGTCTGAGCTACGTTAATAATATCCGCTTTTTTGCTGTTTATTGCAGAGGATATTATTCACTTGGCAGCCCCCTTGGTGTGGATGGAACTTTCGGGCTATGCAGTTAGTTACAAGTGAAAACCATTGATGTACATGCTGAATTAAACTGAGATTTTTGTGATTTTTAACTTTCTGTTTTTCAGATGGTGGGGTTTTTTCTTCGTATTTCACTGCTTTGCAGTAGCCATGTGTCAATTGAATGAGAAGAGTTCAAAGTAACTTCTAAATAAAGCCACAAGTAAATGAATTTTGTTGAAGTGCTCCTTCCCTTATCATCATGACACCTTTGCCATTTATGGGCAGTTGGGTTTTTTTGAAGCTGGTATCACTTCTGATACTGAATGAAAATAATTACTTGTTTTGTCATGAACTTCAAATTGTTTCGTCAACACAGAGCTTGTTCTCTGAAATCTGTGGAACTTTGAGTAGGCTGTAAAGAAAATTTAGTTTTCAAATCAGTCTTTGCTTTTTAGGTCCTAGAATTGAGTACTAGCTGCTGGGCTGTTCAGAAGGCTACTAGGCCTCTTGTTACAGTCTTTTGTCTTATTTAAAACCTGAAAAACCCTCTTGTTATACCTATACCTAGGGTAATCGCTAAAGAACAAGGAGATATATTAGAAGTGACTTGTTTAGGTGGCCTCGAGCAAGTCACTTTACTTCTTGGTGTCTGAAGATATTTGATAACCTTTACAGAATGCTTTGCAGTCTGCTTCTGAAAAGTGCTTTATGATAAGCTAGTTATTACGGGTTTTGTCATTAAGCTCTTGAGCTCTTTTCTTATCCCAAGCATATTCAAAATTACTGGTGGGGAAAACAGCCAAAGTGAAGTGAGTTTGGGGCAGCAGACAGACAGTGAGGTTGTGTGCAGGAGGAGCTGTTGGAGGTTGAGGTGCCACCACGTGCTTTTTTTTGTGTTCCTCCTTTCTGCATTCCTTTGTCCTTCTACTTGTGTCCAGATTGCCATGAGTGTTGGCTGTGACCAAGGCAAAGGCAAAATACTTGCCTGTCCGGTTCCATGTAACATCTTGTTTTCTGTTTTTACAGAACCTTTCTTGAACTTTGCTACGTGTTACAACCTTTTTAGAAGGCTGCTTTTTCTGCAGCAGGGATTTAGGAGGGAGGGGATGCACGTTATAAATCAGGAAGTTAATACTTTAGTTCTTTGGAGAGTTGCACTGTAGTTGCCATTCCTCCCTCTCCTATGGGTCTTTCTGAAATTTTTGTAGAGTGCTATGGGTTTTGCTTGCCTGTTTCACTCCCTTTACTGTAATTCAGCACTCAGATTTGTGTCTTTGCAGCCAAAAGGTTCTGGATGAGACATCCTTTGCATGTCTGCTTTATTTCTTTATTGCTGCTGCTTAACAGCCTCTGGGGAGTTGCTGCTCTGCATCGTATTCTGAGCTCTCTTGACCTGGGGAGAGCTAAAGATCACGGCAGTAATGAAATCTCAGTGTCTTAAACACTGTAGCAGAGCACTGTCTTTGTATGTGTAAGCTCAGCCCCAAGGCTAGTCTTTAAAATCATTTCCACAGTGACAGAATATTGCTTCATTGCTTATGTTGCAAGACCTTTCCTTTGAGTTCGTGTGCCTGTAAAAGGAGTGTAGCTAGCTGTCCGGATGTGCGCACTAGGATTTGTGTTAATTGCAGTCGGGAAGTTACTGAGGATTTGTGTGCAAAAACAATCCACCTCGTTCTTCCAAGCTTATATGAATCTAAAAGAATTCTTACTTTTGAGTGTTTTATTGTTGGTGGACTGTTTCCCCCCCAACCCCCACTCCCAATTAACTCTATCCTTTTGAAATGAAGAAAAAAAAAATGTTTTGTTTAGGACTTGACCAGAATGTGAAGGTAGTGTTTTATTAGCTATTTTTGCTTTTAATACCATTGCTGCTTGAATTCCACACCTTCTATTATAGAAATTCTAAATAAGTTAACTGAATTTTTGATTGGTTAATTATTTTTCAACTCATAATGGGCAAGCTCACATTTAGTGGCCCTGTTTGTATGTCCTGACCCAGTTGTCTCCCCTTCTTCCCCTTCCCGATTTTAAATGTAAGCAAAATCAGAGTAAGTCTCCAGATTACTGAAAACAACTTTCATGTAAGGTGGCCCTACTTCACCTTTTCTGTACAATTCTATTGCTTGTGTTGATGTTAAATGACATGTAGTAGGTCTGAAAAATCATTTGAATAATGCCTCAGAAGACTTGTGCAATAGTCTGAATATTTGCAAGAGGATAAAAACATTTAGGTGTTTTCTCCCTGGCTTTTTGTATGTGTGCAAAGTACGGCTACTGGATTTTGGCGCTTCTGTTGCTGATAGTTATAGGGAATTCCTGATGGCTTGCTTCATTTTAAGAAGTTCATGTTTGTCAAAATCTAGCTAGAAAGACATGATGATAGGAATGACTAGTCCATTCTTTACCAGATATGAGGAAGGATTAATACTGAAAAATGAGAACAAGCTTATGTTATATGTCTTCTTCCCTAAGAAAAAGTTGTTTAAAAGTGCCAAGATGTAGTTCCTGTGCAGTTTACAGAGCTGCTAGGTAGAATTAAGGGTTGTAGGGATAAGTAATACTTATTTTTTAAATGAAATTTAAAACACTGACACTGTTTCAGATCTGACTCAGCAACACCAGCTTTTAGAATACGGGAAGATTGGGATTAACTGTCCTGAGTTTAATTATGTTACTCAACCATGAAGTTTGAGTGAAAAGGGGTGGTTTGCATGGGTGGAACAGTGGCAAGATGTAAGTGAGGTATCCGACACACGTCTTCACTTTTTATAAACTTGTGTGTTTGCTTCACTGTAATTAAAAACCTGCAGGTGGATTTCTGTCTCTCATTGTGAAAACTTGGTGGGGAAGGGAGGATTCTTCTTACCTTTAAGCACTTAACTGAGGTGCCTAAATTGGACATCTCCTCGCCATATGTTCTCTCTAAAAGAAAGAAGGAGAAACTGGGTGTGAGACCACCTGCCTGACTTCTGAAAGAGAGTTTGTACTATAGCTGAATTGCTCTGCGAAGCCTCTCTCTCTCTTTTGACTGTGTTGGTAGCCTGAGATACCCAGCTCAAAGTCGGGTGGTAGGAATTCATGCTCTTGTTTCCCTTTTCCTTTCCACAGTGTTGCGGAGTTTCTCCCTTTACTGTTTTTGTTGAATTCATACAAACACTTTCACTTCAAGACTAGAGACTTGTGCACAGCCCATTTTCGTCTCTTTGCTACCATTCCTTTAATCTGATTTGTGCAATTAGTCCTGTTTGTAGCATGAAGCAGCACTTCAGAAGGGAATATTGGCAGGTTGCAAAAGTTGGCTTACAAGTTACCAGAGTGGCATGCTGCTTTGGTAATGCCCCTGCTAAAATTCTTTCCTCCCCCTGCTACTGAGATACTCTGTTGTGTCTGATTCAGTCTTCACTTTGCTCTGACCTTTACTGAATTTGCGTTTCTCTTCTGTTTTTCTTGTTTTCTTTTTTTCCGTAAGGGAATCCTGCCTTTGGCAGATCCCTCTGCCCTCAGATCCTTCTTAGAAGGCAGTGGTGATCAGCTCTACATATTTCATACTTCCCCAGGCTGATAAAGTAATTATTTCAGAACAGAAGCTGCTGGTCACTAAGAAAAAGAAAGAGGTTTCGGTTTTTTTCTAGAGTTCCTGTAACATATTCCTGGTGTGAGAGAGACAATGTTCTGCAGGCAGTGGATCGGTAGCTCCTCACCCTCCAGTTAGCCTTTAAACTCAGAATATTTCTGAGGGGTTGACCCATGCGTATCGGTCTTTGGTGTTTGCTCTTCGCTGTCTTTGTAATTTTCTTCTATGTCAAAGACTGACAATCAAGGAGAAGTTTTATTTGGTTTGCAGTTTTCTTGGGCTTACGCAAAAGTGCTTGCACCACATCCAAATGCTCTTTTCCTTCCACTTCAGTAGCATACTGAATTGCCTCTTTCAGGGACTTTCTACTTTTAGTTTCCACTTTGTGTACTGGTATCAGGAAAATAGCAATTTCCTGGGACAAGCCAGCAGTGACACCAGTTTTCAAGTCAGGAGAAAGGCAATATGTTGCCTCTTAGTAATACTCTGCTTTCCTTTCAAGTGTAGCTGACTTTCCAGAGCTGAAGGGTGATTTATGTCTAGTAAATTTTTGGAAGAGTGTTTTAAGGCAGAAGATCATTTGATATAGGTGCGTCTTGACATGTTTAATATTTGAAGTGGACAGGAATGGATGGTGACAGGACGAAGAACAGGCCGGGGATATGGGGAAAAGTCTCAGGCTTGTTGACGGTGATTAGAGGAGAGGTGTAGCAGGTTTTGGATCCGTCTGCTGTTTTGGGTAAGACATATTAGTTCTGTCCCGATGTATGGCTGACAAGCTTGTCTTGTGTCTTCAGCAGAGCAAATTTAACTGCAGTTTGGTTTGAGCGTTGCTTTTCTGTGTGTGGTTTTTCTTTTCTGTAGCTACCTGTCTGTTTGGAGGATTGTTTGTTTTTAAGCTTCTAGTCAAATCTCCAGTGCCCAAGTCCTGTATGGGAGTGACAGTGTTTGCAAGTGGAGGAATCCCCAAAACTTCTGACATTCAGTCCTGTTCAGCGTAGTGGGATTATACAGCTGGGATCAGGGCCTTACTCTGCAGGTATAAATAAAACCACCTTGAGCTCATACAGTCCTTTCCTTCAGGGAAGACATCAAAATAATTTACAAATTCCGCATCAACATCATGTAAAAAAACCAAGAGAACCGAGTTATGACTTTGCTAGTGATCACGCAAAGTGTTGCTGCCTGTATGATCATGCTGTCATTTTATTGTTATTTTTCTATGTTTTGTTATTGAACTTTGAAGCAGATACAAAATATTTTACCGACATCCACCAGCAAAAAATGAGTCTAATCCCATTTACTTTGTGTGACTTTATTAATAATTGCTTCTTGTTTAAAAAAGGCTTTTTGAAGAAGTGACTTGTTAAAAACAACTTCATGAAATAACCAGTATGCATTCTACAGAGCATTTTTGGTTTGTTTTCTTTTTTAATAGTTGTGCTCCATTGTCTGAATTCAGCAACATGGTCTGCTTTGCAGGTATCTTGGTCAGACATAGGAGGACTAGAAGACGTCAAGCTGAAATTGAAGCAGGCAGTTGAATGGCCTCTCAAACATCCCGACTCTTTCATCCGAATGGGGATTCAGCCTCCGAAAGGTGTGCTGCTCTACGGACCTCCTGGGTGCTCAAAAACAATGATAGCAAAAGCTTTGGCTCATGAAAGTGGTCTCAACTTCTTAGCAGTGAAGGTAGGCCATTTAGTCTTACATTTTCTTAACTCCTGCATAACAGTTGACAGTTTACCAATTTCCAGTGCTAGAATCCAGTGGCTCTTGGTGTTTCTGATTGTTATATATGCTACAGCAAACACATTGTAAATATCAAGTAAGGTTTGTGTTTTCTTATGAAAAGGACTAGTGTTTTCTTGTGTGCTTTTTGAAAATTTGTTATTTATTTTATCATGGCACAGAAATTATATGTTGATAAGCTGGGTAGTGACATCTTCATTATTGGCATTATTTAAAATCTTTTAAAAATGGAAACAATGAAATTCTTAAAGCAGTATAAATGAAATACAACTCTGGATAGTGGGTAGCTCTTCTTACTGTAATAATTACTTGCTTGCATGAAAATATTATCTCCTCTCTTACATTCCTTTCCATTTCTCAGGAAAATCACTTTCTTTATCTTACTGTTCATGTTTCATTACAGAAATAGTAATACTTCAGTTTTTAGAAAGTTTGAAAAATCAGTTAGATCTGGAGTACTCTTGGATAAGTGGGATATTCTCTCAGCATTAAGAAACACTTTAAGTATAGAAAAATTTTGGATTTCATTGCCTATGAATCAGTGTAATTGATTACTGTGGGTTCTATGGAAAACGCATGAATGGAAGTTATTTAATAATAATAATATTGAGTTTCAACGCACAGGAAGAAGAAAAAATGCAGAGTGATTCCACGTGGGGTAGTCTTGCAGCTGTGTCAGAATGTTAATGAAGTGCAAGAAAAAACATTTGTTTAAGTATTTTAAAAGTATCTCCTTCTCAGCAGTAAGATCACGTACTCTTGTCTGTTGACCATCTCTTTACTCACAAAGCCTTCTGTGTTAGTTTCTACACAGCTTCCTCCTCTGCCTGTCCTTTCAGACACACTGTAGCTGCAGCTCTGGATCCTGTCCTCTCTGGGAGCAGAGGCAGTCACACTGACCCTGAAACCAGCAGCCCTTCATTGCCTGTGCTTCCCGGTATTGCAGACAGGCCGCTGGGTCACGGTCACATCAACAAGAGCAGCCTTGGAAACCTCAGCCCTTAAGAAACACTACCTTTACTGCCTCTTCCAGAAAGACAAAGTAGTTCTTTGTACTCCAGATTTACTGGTAAACAGGGTAACCTTTTCCTCCTGCACTGCTTCAAAGAAAACATTCCTCTTTGTCTCGCCCAAAGCACTGATGCCTGAGAGGGTGGGGAAAAAAGGTAGTGGGGGAAAAAAGTCTGAAAAAAAAGCAGTTAAAAATGAACGTTGTCGCTACCCTGTATTCATCAGTCATAGCTACATCAGACATTTTTACTGATGCAGTTAATTGTCCAAGAGTAAAAGGTGGCTTATGCCGAATAGGAGGTATCTGAAGGTGCACTGATAGGAAATGCTTTTGTACAGTAATGCAGTGTTTCTTCATGGTGGAGTTCTGATGGTGCAAACCCCACTGTCCTTGACAAGCTGCAGCAGATGTGGCTGGCTTGGGGAAACTGCCTTTTATTCCCTGTCCGTTTAAATCCCTTGGCCTGGAACTGGTCGAATATTCAATGTACAGATGTTTCAAGAAGCACATCTCTGGAGTATGTCCAGCCTTGGATATGTTGACTCCAGGAAGGGAACATAGCCCACTTTTTCTAACTTCACATTTGCTTCCTGGACAGAAAAGGCGACATCCATCATGTACTAAATGTGTTAAACATCATTGTCTGTAGCACTTCTTAAAGCGCAACAGGCATGAATTAATTTCCTGCAATAAATCCAAAGTAGAAGAATATGTGGGGTTTTGTTTTTTGGGGTTTGGTTTGGTTTTTTTTTGAGAGAGAGGATTTTTCTTTTCTTGCTTATAGTCCTATTAATTTTCCCGTTCTCTATGTTATGTCTCAAATATCTGTCCCTGGAACTGATAGCAGGCTTTTTGAAATGGAAGTGTGTTTCGTCATAATTTACTTTTCAGACTTGCATTTTCCTTCCAGTCTCTCCTGCCCCAAATAAGTAATTTTGATGAAAAGTGTGTGCTATACAGCCTGTAGAATACGTGTACTCTTTCAGGATAGTTCAGGTGGCTCAGGTTCTTCGGTCCTTCTCGAGAACGGACTGCAGACAGGAGGCATAGCTCTAGCTGTGGGAGCCTGCTACTGGATGCCCTCTCTCCCTGTGTCTGAAACTTGAGAGGAAATAGAGTACATTACATGCAGTGCTTACTTGGTCCAGTGATTTTTGGAAGATGGACCTATTATGTCTGCATGCTACATTTAAGATACATGGGCACAGTAAGTCCAACTCTCTCAAGAAGTGCTGAATGTACTGTACTTGTCTAAGTTGGCTGTCCTGCTTGGGTGCAACAGGTATCACTCCTGCCCCAGCCTGGCTCCAGGAAGGCTTTGCATTATTTTCCAGATGTGTCTATGCAATGTCTGTGCAGTTTGGACAGCTGACTCTGTTAAATGAGGTACTTCAGCTGGGTTATATGTAATCTGTTAAAATGTGAAATTTCCATGTGTCTTGGGCATGGCTGGTTGTCATAACGCTGTATGAGGCATGGTCAAAACGACGCAGGCTCCAGTCCATGTCTGACTTGCCTCTAATAAGGTTTGGAAAATGGGCAAAGTCTAGATGTAATTTCTGGGCAGAGGAGCTGAAGAAAATAATGTGATAACAGATGTTTGACGTTGCATCCTGTTCTCTCCTGAAATCTATTGTGAAGTTTGCATGGTTAGTGTTACAATGAATGCGGCCCTTTTGTAAACATGCTCTTTGATATTTGGCCAAAACTTTTCATAGCTATATTTTCAGCAAGATTGGTGACCTTTTGCTTTTCCAGAGAAAAGCAGTTGGTTAGTTGGTTTGTTTAACAAAGCAATCTTGCATATAATTCCTAAGGGGAATTGTTTATTTTTATTCCTTCACTTGACTTTCTTTGTCTCTAATACAATATATCTGCTAAATTTACTGGGGAGGAGGTTGTCAACTACTTTCCAGGGGATGGCTCTTCCTGCTCCCACCCACCACCCCTTTTTCTAAATCTCTTGTAGCATCGAGGCTTTTCAGGGTTTTAGTGGTCATCTTGATTATTCCCCCTTCCCAAACCTCTGTTACAAAAGGCAACTTTTTGTTCAGAATTGTTCTCAACTTCTTGGAAAGCTTTCAGTGTTTTGTGGTCATGGATACAAGTGAGTGTAAGACGGTGTGAAGGAATGAATTAGGATAATTTTTTCATTCTTCAGGATTGAACATCAGTGTTGACTTATCAATAGTTTTTGATCTGGTTGAATTCTTATTTCAGTCAGCCTTCTATGTACTTTTATACTTCTTCACACTCCTTTTGTGCTCCCCCCAAAGTTTGTAATTTTCTTCTGAAATGTATCTTGCGCATTTCTTTTACTGATAGGAAAAGCAATTTGTATACAGATATTGGACCTATAAACATTAATAGATGGGGGATGTAATTTTCAGCTTCTGCCAGGTTGATGACACCTCTCTGTTATATACAACTGTCTGACATTTTTGCTTTAGCTTTCTGTCATCTAGCTTTCTGAAATTGAACATGAAGAAAGTGAAACCCTTTGTCACTGTGTTATTTCTGTGGGCTTTTTTCCCCTCTTTTGGCTGTTTATGTGGTGGGTATCTCTCTGTACTGTTTTGACAGTTCCTGCACTTAGGGTCAGCTTTGACTGGCTGCTTTTTTGAAATATATGTTGATTAGACCACTAAGATTTCATGGTGATATTATAAGAATATTTTTGGAGGAAACTTCCATATCTTGCTGTATGGCATAGATAATTATATCTGCATTTGTCTTGCATCTTAGCTTGTTTACATTTGTTAAGACTGCCCTCTTGGAATTTTTTTTTTAATTTAATTTTATTTTTAGGAAATCCTGTATCATTGTGTTGTGCTAAGAATCAAATGGATATTACTTTTCTTCACGGATTTTCTGTTGCTTTTCTGGGAAGCAACTTGCAAACAATCTCCGTGGGTTTTTTTTTTTCCTCTCATATTATTGTGGTATGTAGGTAATTAACTTTGCTACCAAATAAGAAAACCATTGTGCTTTTTGTTTTTAACCTATTTGAAAATGAACACTGAAGTTCACTCTTTTGTTGTCAGGCTGGGAGGCACCATCACGGTACCTACCTGGATAAACACCCATCACCCAGTTACAATATGATCCTTAGCTGACCGTCCCATAAGGGCCACGGGGATTGGAAAATCCTTTTGCCCCTTGAGTTGCCCATAAGCCCAGGATGCTGCATACTAGAGGGGATGTATGTTGTTGATGGTATTCTGCATTGCATTAACTTCTACTTACTCAGCCTGCTAAAACCAGAGGAAGACACTCCGCTGACTTCAGGAGGCTTTTGCTCAGGATTATATCAACAGGGGACTTTGAGTTCTGTTTTCTGTCCAACAAGCAGATTACCTGAGTTTACAAAATAAATAACAAGAAAAATTTTGTAACTTCTATATGCTTCTAATGGTTTTGGAAGCATCGTTTTTCCTCTTGCTGCTTAGTGCTTTTTAATATTTGTCTGTTTAAAATCAAAACTAAGGCAAAAACTCACTTAGTGGTAGTGGCAAAAACCAGCTTAAATTTTCAGAAAATTTAGATTTCCAAAAGTTAAACCCCTTGGAATTCAGCTAAGTGAAACACACGAATTGTTGTAAACATGATGAAGCAATATTTAAAAAAAACAACCCCAAACCCACCCATGATGTTAAGTAGTGTTTAAGGACGTTAACACCGAGCAAACCAATGGTACAGATGATGTATACTATACTGCTCTAAAATATTATTTGCATTGGTTAGGAGCTCCAACTATGGTGGGGAAAAAAAAAGGTTAGAAAATATTCCTGACATTTTATTTGCTGTTACTTAAGAGCTTGGGCTGAAGGAATCTTTTCTTTTTTCAATTAGCAGTAATTACAAAAATATACACTGTTCTCACAGCTCTGACTTCACCTTGGCTTGATTTAACTTCCTGTATCACCCT